TAGGTAGGTAGGTATGTATGTATGTTGCTGTCAGGCGTCAATTCCCCTATCAAGTGATGTATTGCTCGATGCCCCAGACTTAGCCAGGCTACCGTAACACGAACTCGACCGCACAATGAGACTTACCAGTCTCAGAGTTTGATAGTTCGATTGCTAAAACTCACCGAGCAATTTTTGGCGCTTTTAAATCGAAATGGCAGCGTTGTGTCACGACTTATTATCCTAAGGCCCAAACAGGGACGGGGTACAGCATCAGCTAAGCTGTCCACGGCCGAAGCATGACTGTTCAAGCTGAAATTTCGATCTCTGAAGCAGCACAGGGACAAAACTACCCGCATGCCCCAAACTTCCCGGCTGCCACTTTTCAATGTGTGAGCTTTTCACACATCTACGCCCGCCCAATGCCACGTTTCCTCGCTTGCATGTCTCAAGTCTTAAGTTTTCAACATACGTGGAAGAGCGGAAGTGTGGAACGGCGAGGGTTTCAGGCATGCATAATTCAACGTTTGCGGGAATGCACTCGCATGTGCGTTACATACCTGAATGTTTCACATCTTCACAGGTGCCGTCTCTGGTCTACCTAGGAATAGTTATGTGAGCACAACTTGCAGTACAAAGGTGAGCGCTATAGCTCTTGGGTTTTTGCTTGGTGCGCCAGATTTCGGAAATCCTCATGAACACCGCGCTGGAGCAGCCCGATCCCCAACTTGCAGATCCGGTTGGCAATTTGCACCTTCCGCACTGCTTTGTTGCCGTCGAGGCTCGATAAGATTGAGCGCTTGCTGGTGGACAAAAAGCAAACAGAAGAAGAAATGCGCCTCAAGGCGTGGGTTTCAGGTACAGGCTGCACGCGTCACAGCAGGCGAGACTCACGGAATACTTCTTTTGTCTAAGGCTGAGCTTTAGACAGGTCCAAGCAAGAAGAACCAACCTACCATCTTTCGTAGCACTGTAGATAGTTCCTCTTGACGTTAGGCCGCAGTAGATCGCAGTTCTTGGTCTGAAACTTCTGATCTATGTCAATCTAAGTAACAAGCTGGCTGACTTTTGCCTAAGTGGTTTCAGGGTGCGCTGATTTTTTATGTCATGTTTTGTTTTGACTTGGTGTATGCTTTCTGTTCTGGGTTTTCGGCAAGGTCCTGCCAGCGGATGTGAAATGTATTTCTAATCTTTTCCAATATTTTATTCCTAGATTTCATAGGAATAGCTCAGCAGGGAACGACTTAGCCGCTCAGGTTTGTTCGGGTGATGTGCAAAGCTTCTCTCAACGGCTCTTCAGCAGGACCCTTTCCAGGGGCATCTTCGTCTTATGCACGATGTTTCATGAAGCATCCAACTGATCACCATAGCCGCAATACAAAGCAAACACTATGGGAAGGATGGTTCGACACGTGCGCAACACAGGGTAAGGGGCCCTTTGTCTGTGCTTCTGCGGCTGCGTTCGCCATGCAAGTTCTACAAGTAGGATGGGGAGTGTGTCCAGCAGCCTGGTGACGTACCCTCGGATGCCATCATCTAAGTCTAAGCCGCCATTTGCACTGAGGTGCATGGATACGAACATTGGCTCAAGCAAAACATGGTACGTGATCTTTTTATCTTGCTCTTGCGCTGTGCGCACTTACACTTCCTTTGTCCCAAAGACCGGAGAGATAGCAGAGTGAACAGTTGCGTCAGGCAGCAAAGGCGTCAAAGAAAAAAGGCAAAAAATGATACTGCTGCCTATGTTTCACACGTTTCACATCCAGCATGCAGCAAACGAGGCTGTGAATTCTAGATTCTAGAGCGCTCGATGCTGAAACAAAACGGTCGTGAAGCCTGTTGAATAGCGCTCCTGTTCCGCTGCTTTAAAGTCTACAATGCTGCTGTTCGGCCCAGACTTTCCACGGGAGGCGGTGTCGATTCATTCGACAGGCCAGTATTGTGGTAGCGAGATTGTGTAATCTGAGTTCCAGCTCGATTTCAGTCCAGTAGTCCAGCACGAGACTGGCGCATGACAGTCATTGACTGGGTCCAAGACTATGGTGGATCTCTCCAGGATTGGGTGCCCAACTCCGATGGTTCCCGTGACTTGTTGACAGGCCTCCCAGCTGCAATGAAGAAGCTCCTGGTGACGGTGGTCGGGGGCCAATTTTTGGGTTTTTGGTCATCGGTCTTGCGTTGTACTGCTTTAGGTGGCTGCACTGACGCCAGAAGCCAGCTCCGCCTTTATTCGTCAGGCGAGGTCAAAATGCCTCAGAGCTGCGGCAGTTCTGCTGGGTCCTGTGCAGGTAGCTTTGTCCGAAGCTTCGGGCAACAGAGGCATATTGACGAATGCATCGCAATCAAACAAGCGACTGGACGGTGTCCTTCGCATTGCTGAGTTGGAGGCTTGCAGCCACTTGATGATGATGAGCGCGAGGCAATTACGAGTCCTCGTCCGCCTGTTCGAGATAAGATCTGATTTGAAGAGCCGTGGTGCAGCGCTGCGGGTACAGGCCAGGGATGCGGAAATCGAGGCAGAGCGGACTGTCAAAGAAGCAGAAGCCGCTCTGCAAGAGAGAGATGAGAAGCCCAGGCTTTCTGATGCGGCTAACGAGCAATTCATTCGTTCGATGAACTGTGTGCAGGCATGGCAAAAGTCAGCCTCTGTTTGCGACGGTCGCTGCGCTCAGGATGGAGAAGGCCAGAGACCACGTTCAGTCTGTCCCTAGCATGTGTGCACAGTCTTGCACGCATGTGCCAGGGCCTGCCATACACGGAGTTTGAGCCCAGATGCATCAAGCACATGGAGGAGGCCTGCCTGAGCATGATTTGGCAAATTTCGGCAGATTTCACAAGCTTTCGGCAATTGTTCAGGTGAGCAGTTCCCTTGCCGACGCCTACGGTGATGTGCAGGCGCGCTCGGGTGGTGACTGCTCACAAGCACATCGATGTCTCTGAACAACAAGCAAGGTCAAGCATCTCCTCACGCAAGAGTGCCGTCGCCACCTTGAAGATCTGACTGCAGAACCCGTCAATCTGGCAGAAGCAGAGAGCGAAGGACATAGAGAGAGGGCTGCATTGAGGCCTGGAAGCTGAGTTTCCTCGAACTGTCGACACGGGCTTTGATGATGTCAAGGCCTTGTGCACTGTCACATTCTCTTGCAGACGTATTGTCTATGTCTTTTCAATGTGCGACCGGCCCACTGTCTCGTGAAGTCCGTTTGGTGGTCTGCAGCGGTTTAGTCAGATGCAGCCGCACATGCTGTTGGTATGCGTCTAGAGTATGCCAGCTTTTGCATTCGTTTCCAAGTGGATACTTGGTACACGCCTTGGTGCTGAGAGACCATCGTGTCTTTGTTCTGTTGTTTCGAGTTGCACGGCGCACCGGAACACGGCGCAGTCTCTGTCCGGTCGCGGTCTGTGAGGAATGCCTGAAGTTCGCGGATGAGTTCGCCAAAAGAGAGGCTCGAGGGTTCAATTTTAATGTTATGTCAAGTTAATAACATGTTGTCATGTCCCACTCTTGCCACAGGACGGGTCTTTCAAACAGTTCTGCAAGCATTTCTTCGAGGCCTTTCCAGTCCAGCTTGCACATTTCGTTATCAGTGTTTCTGCTGCATTGTCTCCGGTTGAATCCGAGGCATCCGATCTTCCTGCTGACACGCAGGCGATAGCCAAGCAGACCGAAACTGCAGCAAAGAAGACTGCAAGGTCCAGCTGGTGGGACAGAGCTTATCGTGCGCCCAACGTCATGCGCGAGTCCACTCAGGATAGTTCCGAGGTCATTGGAAGCGCCGGGACATCGAAGGCGCGAGCCAGGCGTGGCTCAACCGATAAGACGACTGAAAGCGCCGGCAAGCCGAAGACAGCGGCAGAGGAAGGGACAGCAACGTCTCGGCCCGAAGTGGGGAAATCCACAGAGGATGCAGAGGGCGCGGGTGAGGACAGTGCAGAAGACACGGGCGAGGCAGCTTATGAGGCAGCCTTGCGCTCCGGGAAGAGCCCGGAAGAAGCTGCTCGCGTTGCGGCGGAGGCTGCGAGCAAGGTGGCTGAAGACGAGGCTCGTAAGTCGGGCAAAAGCCCCGAAGAAGTGCAGCGGGCAGCAGCTGCCGCGGCTTACAAGGCCGGTGTGTCAAATGGTATGAGCAAGAAAGAGGCCGAGGACGCATCCTCGGAGGCTGCCGAGGACGTCAGTGCCAAAGCCGCGCGTGGCATTCCTGGGTCGAGCCGTGGGAGTGACAGTGGCGAGGGCAGCGCTGCCTCCACTGACACTCCGGCCACTGCATCTGCGGAGTCACAGAGAGACGGAGCCTCCGGGGCTGTGGCTCAGCAATGGGGTTGGTTCCAGTGGCTGTGGAATCTGTTGTGGCCAGTGCAGACACAGTCGTCAGAGAAGCCGTTCAACAACACGCTGGGGCCAGCGAAGAACAAGACGACAGAGATTGGCCTTCAGCAATCTGATCTGGAGCGTTTAGATGCCATTCTTCGCCAAGAGAGGCTCGGCGTTGCATGCTCCCATGTGTCTGTGCCTGCACAAAAAGCTTGCGCAGGGATTTCGACGCAGATGGCATCGTGGCGAATACCGATCGGAAAGAATACACATCCGTTTCCTCAGTCGCACGAAGCTTCAGCAGCAAAGAAAACTTGAAATGCGACCGGCTTCTGCCCTATCAGGCTTGTGTGGTGCACCTGAAGAAGGCCTGATCGTGTGCCTGCCGAAGCAGATCGAATGTGGAATGCCAGTTGATCAGCACAGGTCGGCACGGCCATCGATTCATCCTATTCCGACCAGCAGGCAGTGGAAATTTGAACCTTTTGAGCAAGAGGAGCTGCAGAGTCATGTCAGGCCCAAGAGGTCTTAGAGTCCCAGTGCTTGCTGGACAAGGACGACGCACAAGCAACGGTATGTAAGAGCCCTTTGCATTTGCTCCATGCTCGTGCAATGCTCTGATTCCTTTGGACAAGGAAAACCAAGAGTCCCTGCAGGTTTGAGTCGTTTGGGGTGGTCCCAACAGATTTCTGTTGTGTTTGAGGTGCAAACAAGGCCAGTTGAGTTCTTCATCCTGGCGGGGAAACGAGTGAGAGAGTGAGAAGGAAGAGAGACTTGGATATCTTGGATGCGCTGGTGTCCAGGTAGGGGTTCACGCCCCGAACCCTTCCAAAGAGGCATGGAGACACACAGACAGATCCCTCGGTGCTTTCTCTTCGGGCGGAGTCTGTGATGCATATTGATGAATTGATTGATGAGTGCCCGGAATGCCTACAGTAGTGTCCCACGGTGGGCCATCCGCAGGAATTCGTGACGAGGCACGATTCCTTCGTCAAGACGAAGGCAGCAGGGGGCAATGCCATCATACGTTTGCAAACCCTTCACGATGTATCTGCAGAGAGCCTCCCAGGATTGCAAACTGTTTGCCAAGCTGTACATGAAGGCTCGGAGACAGGACTGCCGATTTCAAATTTGTGTCATTTTCGAGCCGTCGAGCTTTCTGCGCAGACTGTCGCAGGAGCTTCTAGGCAGTGATGCCTCCTACAAGAAGCTTTGTCTGCTGGCCGCGATAGATAAATGCCCACATGTAGAGACAAGTGGTGTGTTGTTCAATCTGTCTGCCGTGTAGAAGCGTTGACTGTTGAGGTGCTTGGTATTTCAGCTACATGGATCAAGCCAGCGCCACAGGGTGGCAGCAGCACTTTTCCATTGGTTTCGTGATCGTGTTTGAGGGCAAAGCCGTAACTGTGAGATATCCGCCTCGCAAGCGGGGGTTCTTCGACATCGTCCCGTGTCAATCCCCGTGCCGCCACTGTGGTAGACTTGGGTAGGTAGACGCCACAAGCGTTTTTCGGGAACGCGGATTCTGCCAGTTCGGGGCCGCGAGCGCAACCCCGCCTCCCAGCTGCGTGTGCATCGTCGATTTGGAGATAACCCATTTGCCTCAGTTCCTCAACGCTCAGCCTAGCCTTGCGCTAGGATGCCCGCATGTGTGACGCGACCCTGCTGGGAGCAATTGGTGTTTGTGATAAACCAAGTGGAGGAATACGAGTTCAGGCTTGAGCAATTTGAGCCCAGGCTTTCGACAAAGACCATCTGCAGGCTGGGATCAAAGCCGTTTTGTTACCGGGGTTTCGACTTTCATTACCTCGACGTGCAAAAAAGTTCCTGTCAGGACTTTGACTCCATGCTGCTTGAAGGCACCAGGTCTTCCGAAGTCCGGCACCTCCGCCCGCAGCAGACTCAAAGCGCCGACTGAGCCGAAACCTCGAGCTTTTGCCAAGCTCCCGAACGCCTTCCGCCGCATTTTCCAGCAGTCGCCGAATGAGGGCCACTTTGCCTGGGAATGTGTATGGGGTTTGTCTCGCCGAGATGTAAAAGAGCACGCAAACTGTAGACAGTCTTTGCATGCTTCGCGAGGTTGCACAGGCATTTTAAGTCGTGTTTCTTGCTTGCAACCTACCGTGAGTGCTGCAGCCTTCCTGCCAGTGCTGGGATCAGCAATGTGGCGTAGCAGAGCAGCGAAATTTTGCAGCGTCCCTTGCATGAATATGGAAGACTTGTCATCGTCTTCTTGTAGATCATAGTCGTCATCATCATCGTCATCATCATCGTGAACTAGCAGCACTGACCATCACCATACCCACCAGGATCTCCAGCACAGGATTTTCAGCAACGCTAGCTTCAGAAACAGCTGGACAGTTCGTCTAAATGCAGCTGCACAATTCTTTTTGGCGGACTGCTAGCTCCGTGTGTTCTCTCTCCTGCGATGGGGGCTGAGCCCAGCAAGAAGTGCTTCCAGGAGGCACCGGCGTCTTCGCACACCTTTGCACAAATCAGAGTGCTTTGGACCCGAAGGCCAGAAGTCATAAGCTCGCAGAACGGACAGCATCTGCCCGCTAAACTCGCTAAACACTGCTGCTCGGTCCTGCCTCCTACGCTAAAAGCACAGAATGAGAGAGTCACGGCCGAACAAGATTGTCAGGCTTTGCTGAAGTAAGTTTCTTAACGAAGGGGCATTGCTTTGAAGGCTTGGCCACTGGCGCTCATCAGGCAAGGGGCAATGCAGTGGCCTTTCTTGCACTTGACATGTCTTTTTCAAATTGCAGTCGTTTTGGATGGCAGGATCGCCGCCGTACTGGCACTGGGGACATTGCCTGTTGCAGGCAGGCTCTGTAGCGGACCTCGACATGCGAGGACACTGCCCCGCAGAATCTGCCGGGTTTTTGTCTTGCCCTTCTCCAGGGGAGCAGCCCCTGTCACAGTTGTGGGCAAGCAAAGCCCCAACGGCACAGGCCAGGGACGCAGGCTGAACCTGTGCTCGGTGCTTCGCATTCTTCGAAGGAGCTTGGAAGGCGTGCATCTCACGAGCTCAAGGCATGCAAACTGAAATTATCGCTGAGTTTGAAAGTCTTTCCATGTCCACATTTGCAAGGCTTTGCTTCAGAGCAAGGGGCTTCATTGCGACAGCTGCGAGAAGGCAGTGAAGCACCTTTCATCAGAAGCCATGCATGGAAAGTCAAGGCATGCGAAGGCCGTGCCCCTTTCCCGGCCTGCTGGGGCTCGTTGGGTTGTGTCGTCTTGTCCGCCATGTGAGCAGTGTACCGCGGGATTTGTTTATGGAGGTCTGCCTGCGATGCCTTGATCGCCGCTGTCGTTCGCACATGAAGTGCTGACATAGTCGTGAGGGGACACGAGGTACTTTCATTATGCATGAAAGCAGGTCGCGATTACCGCTTGTCTCCGGCTCCCCCTTTGTTTGGATATGTTTCGGTGGTTGCGTGTTAACAGTATTTGCAGTGGGCCTTGTCATGTGACGTGAAGATGCTTGAGCATTTCCACGGCAAGAACTGTCGTCGCCAGGCGTTCTAGTTTCCCCATATGGTTGGAAGACGTGCTTCGCCATCCGGTGCTGCCGAGCTTCGATGTTTACAGTACGAGCCAAAAGGCAATTTTTGCTGAGGAGCGGCTTGCAGGCTTCAGTCATCGATGTGGCTCACGGCTTATCTATATCCTAGGAGTGCATGTTCGTGTGGGTTACTCTTGATTACAAAGACACGCTCTGAATTGATGCTGACAGTTGGCTCCCTCGGTCATGTTCCATCGCAGGCGCAGCTGGTGCAAAGAGTATTGGACACCTGGGATGAGGAGGTGTTGGAGGCCAGAAGATGCGGCCAAGGGAGATCTTCCTTCTAAACCTGAATCGCTCGGCAGGCCTCATCGCCGGATGGCAAGCTCCGCTTGACAAAGGAGAGGGCAATCGCCAGTGCAAATCATGTTGAACATTCCGGAGGCTGACCATGGCTGGCTGCAGCGTCCATTCATTTCGGCAGCAAACTACTTTAAGCCCGAACTGGGAAGTCTTCCTGAGGCTTTGAGGGCAGACAGGTTAGGAGCAAACTTCCGTCTTTGAAAGACCCACAGACGTAACACATGGAGAAGGCTTCCCAGAGGAAGGAATACTATTCACCATTCGGCCCTTTAGGGATGCTTGGTCCTAGCTTGGAGCTTGCATGGCCACCAGCTGCTTGTCAAAGGTGGATAAGGAGTTGCATGCTCGCCGCTCGCCCAACACGAAATTCCTCGCTCGAGCTCACTGCTGTGAAATCGTCTTCATCCGTTCTTATGTATTTACCATGTGCTGCATGGGCTTGTGCTGTCCGATGCACACGCCACCTGCTAAAATCATGATTCGATTCAACTCTTTTGGCTTGAGGGAAGAGCTTCAGGTGGTCATCGCAACATCAAGGACACACTGCGCTAAGCACAGGATAGCCCGCACAACCCACTGCCCACCAGGCCCTCCCGCTGCGAAGCCAGTCGCCATCCTGGGCACACCGACTTACCTTTCGACAGCCTTGCAGTCTCACGAATCCTTTAACTATTGGGTTGTTGAGAGCAAAAAGCTTAAGGCCGACGGCTTTCCCTGAGAGGGATTCGGATTGTTTAACGGGATGCATTCACTGCATTCACCCAGTTGCCGAAAATCGGCAAGAGCATTCGGAATCTCCATCTCAGGCCGGCCAGGCTGCCACCAACCTGCTCACTGCACTACAGCACCAAAACGCTTCCCATATCTTGCCAAGCGCATTCGTCGAGTCGACAGCACGAGGACATTTTCGTAAAGAATCTGAAGATGTCGCACAAACGGTTCGACCCTCAGAGACGTTTCCAGAGCACACCAAGAATCAGCTGAAAACACATGCCAGGCAGCTGAAGCGAAAGCCAGAAGACGGCGGACATGAGCTGCTTCCCGAGATTCTGACAGGTCTTTGTCGATGCCAATGCAGGTGATGTACATTCACAGATGGCCGCATTCGCACAGAGATGCTGCCGTAGTGTTGATTAGTTTTGCCGTGCAGCTCGGACTGTTGGTCTCACATGTGTTACACACGTGCCAGTTTTGTCGTAATGGTGACTCAGCGTCGGGAGAATGTGGTGCTGGTTTCCCAAAGGCAGACGCGGTAGCTTGGATGTTGACAGCTACTAATGTCACAACATTCTGGCATCATGCTTTTTGCAGTTCAGTTGTGCTTTCTTTGTCGCACCATCAGAATATCCCCATCTGATGAACTGAGCACTGTGCAGGAAAACATTTCCATGTCTTGTTTCTTCAAGCGGCAGATTCACAGATGTATGACTCTATATTTCTGCACATATATATATATATATGTATATATATAAATATAAATATAAATATAAATATATATATATATATATATACATAGAGGCTTGCACATCGAGTAGACTCGGTTTTTTCCGTCGAAGTTTTGTCCAGATGTTGCAGTCTGCAAGTCTTCGTGTTCTTCATCCACGCAGTCGACATGCTCGCCTGGTGGTCTAGCAGCTGAGGTTAGCTGATGACGATGACGACGTGGAAGGCCGCAGGCTTACCTGCTAGTGTCACATTCACTTGATTTTTTCTGGATGTTGCTTGGGGTTTTGCATGAGGTGCCGATGTTCATATCCCGGACATAGACAAGGCCCGACCATGGGAAGGCCCACGATGGCAATCCTCCCAGTTGTGTGGACGGTGCGTTCACAGGTTTGGCGCGAATTCAGCACCAAACTCTCGAAGGGAGATGTCCAGACAGTGTGAGGCTCAGTGCTGCAATGACTAAGACTAAGAACTTGACTGCTAAGCTCAGGACGGTCAAGGGCAGATAGTCTACGAGGCACTCAGATTGTCAAGCTGATCGGAAGGGAGCTCTGGACTGCCGCCATCTGCATTTGGCGCTAGGTCAACAGTCCAACACCCGCCCCGAGCATGTGGGATAAGCACGCGGCCCGGGAAGTTCTGAGTCCTCGGCCTCTTCTGCCAGCCTTAGATGAGGTGGAAGATGTATGGGCTCATGGCCATGAACATCTCCATGCTGCTGCCGCTGCCCAAGGTTTGCACTGAGGCTTGCACACCTGGAGCCGCCAGCGGTGTCGAACACACAGAGCTTCCAGTCTCTATGCGTATTTTCTGTCCTTGACAAGGCCAACCACACATGAAGGGCTTTGCACGAAGTTCTAACAGCCCGGATCAGCCGGAACACCAAACGAGACGAGTGCTTCCTTGAAGTGGAAGCATCTGCTACCATCAGCGAACTCACAAGGTGCACTCAGTTCTTGAAGAGGCTCGTGTTGTGCCGAGACAGGGGGCTATGAGGGGCTGAAGCCGGCCCTGACTGCACCGTAGGTACAAAGGGTCCGACGCCACAGAAGAGGAGAATGTCTGAGACTTAGCGCTGTCATCGACTGTGCGCTCCCTCTCTGCAGTGCATATGGCATTGCCAAGGTCTCTCCTGATGGTGGGCAAGAAGGCTCTCTCAAATCCTCAGCCGCTTGACGTGTGATCCAAACGGGCATCAAAGGTGAAGAAGCCAAAAAGCACAAGAAGAAGAAGGACAAACATGTACATCGCCATGGAAAAGCTCTCTGTGGAGTTTCAGGCTGCGTGGTGCTGCAGCTGGCATTCCTTTCAGGACGGCAAAAAGAAAAGCTAATTCATCGGCTTCAAGTTGCAGACACCTCATCACAGCAGTGCTTCGAAACATCAAGTGGCACGGGGTTGCATTTGCATGCAGAGGCTGACTGGCACCCAACGAGCTATGTGTATGTTGACCACAAGTGCTGACAAACTGTCACTACTTGTCACCGCTTTTTGCTTAAGCTCGCCGCCACAAGCGGAGTTCAGGCATGTACAGGACATGCCAATACATGTGCTTCCAGAGCCGCATGTTACCAGCAAATGCAGTATTGACAAAGCACAGTTTCAATACGATCGCTCACATTCGCTCACCACCCAGCAAGCTTTGGATCGCAGAGAGAGCAAAATAAAATGTAAATGAGTCCGGTTTCAAATTTGTTTTCCCTCTTTCTACCATGCCCCTGCCAGCCTGGCTAAGGCACAGCTTTTGTTGCTTCTTCGATTCCCCCAGCCCAAAACCCCAGCATGTTAGTTTTGACGTAGCTAACGTGTCCTCAACTTGTTCCACAAATCGATCCCGCCAGCAGAAAGTCCACGAAGCACAGAATTTAGCTCCGGCCTGACTTGTAGGGATACCCATTGATGGGGCCACACTGACCAGGCCTCCACATTAATCGTTGTATGTCGAAACAGCTGGCGGACTTTGTCGAGTCAGGCACAAGGCGAACACCAAATTAGATTGAAGCACGTGCGATTCTCGCGGGCGCGCGATTCAAGCACCCAGTCAGACTGGGCTTTTGAAGGCAGGGCTTAGAACTTGGGGTTGGAGGGTTGCAGAATTCGAGGTTTAGTTTGGTGTTCAGGATGGGACGGAGAACGGCAGCCGAGTGCTTGCGTGGGCTGTTTTTTGGTTTTTGTGGCTTTGGGTTTTTAGGGGATATCGTGCATACGGGCGAATCATCAAGGTTTAATACAGTAAGGATGCGTTTGCTTGGATGTTTGGCTTCTTAACTGTAGGTCTGGCTTGTTCAAAACACCCAAGCACAAGCGACGGTGTTGACGTCGGGCGCCGTGATACAATCAATGATGCGGTGAAACATAGACTTGCAAGTCGGGGAAACGGAGAGCGTCGTTTCAGGAAGCAACAAGCACAGGAGTCGCAGGACAGCGACGATTTCCCTAAGATGTAGGGTTTAGCTCCAAGTTTCGGGTGTTGGGGGTGTTTGACTCAGAGGCTTTCCTTTTAAGTCTGAGACTTTGTGCAGCAAAGGGAGTATTGGAGTCGCCACCTCTTCCACTTCTCATGATGTCGTTAAGGATTTGGGATCTGTTGGAACCAGTCACTCCTTTTGGGTGTCTTTTCGCAAACGCACACTCCCTCACGCTTTCATGACGAGACACCTTGATACGAACGGTCACTCCGTCACTTGTTTTTGGGTCGAGGTTTTCCACAGACACCCACTCCCGAGTTGAACCTTAGTTTACTTAGAGTACGGTTTAGGGTCAGTGTGCAGGGCTTTCAGCGTGCGAATCTTTATCTAGCGATGCAGTGTACCGAAAGGAGTGGAGTGAACAGGAGTGCGAACCGCTTTCTGCTCAGTAGGAACTGCAACAGTAGTCTGCGAACCACGACAGGTATCTATCTAATCGGAGACAGGAGCGAGTGATTTGGGGCTCAAATTTGTTGTTCGGGCCGAAATCGGACGTCGTTTTCCCCTTTTGGCAATTAGAACGAAGGCCCCTTCCCTCGAGTCCCCAAAACCAAACGACGCACGAGTTGGAGTTCAACTTCGGAATGACCAAAATCGGACTTCGTTTGCCCTCGGGCACGTGGACCTCCCAAAAGCAGACGACGCACGAGTTGGGTCCGGGTGTCGTTTGCACCCTGCTATGGTAATTTCGGAATACTGTGGACCGAACCCCCTTTCCTGGACCCCCAACAGCAAACGACCCACGCTTTGGGCCTCGATTTCGCTGTTCTGGCCATAGCACAACCCATGACAGCACCCATTTTATTGTCGCGGTTCCCTTGAAGCCGAAGCGTGGTTCCTTTCTGCTGTTTCTTTGCGTGGTTCGTGCCCCCCCTCCGAAAGAAAGGGGTCTTGAAGCGTAAAGCCGTAAAGCATCGAAGTTCCAGAAGTTCAGATCTCCGGACTCCGGGCCCGCCGCGCCTTCCATGGCCCATGGCCTCGGCCTCGGCCTCGGAGGATCGTCTTCGGCGCCTGCTGGCTCTCCGCAGGCCAGGCCATGGCCCTTTCTGCTTCTCTGACTGTCTTTTGGAACTTGAGACGAACCGCGGAACCGCAGGAAACGTGTACGGACGCATTGGCGCGACGCTTTTCAGGCCAGATCGCTTTGCAGAAGTTGGCAACTGCCCGGGTCCTTGCCTCAGCCGTGAGTGGAAGACAACGGTGCAGCAGAGACGGGCAGCGGCGTAGCAGCATGGCTGAGGCTGCGGCGCCGTGTTCCCATCCTGTCGGATGCCTAGAATCTCCCCGCTCCGCTAGGATCCGCTAGGCCAGTCGTAAACAGGACTTCGTTCGACAGGCAGCTACTGCAGGCAATAGTAGCAGAAGGTGCCATAGTCGATTTGCGTGCATCAGGATATTGCACTTAAATCCAAGTCTTGAGTGGCTTCAACTGGATGCTGATGTGGCCACATTTCGGACGAGATTTGATTGTTACCGGCATCAGCTGCTTCTAAGCTGGCATCTTCAAAAAGATGGCTTCTGGCGGTTTGCAGCTACCTTCGATTGTGGGCCGGGATCTGGGTCCGGGAGAAGTCGCTTCCAAGGTTCTGGGGCGCTGGCGGTATGGGAACATGTGAATTCTTGGGAGGCCGCTGACTTGTCCCCGCCACAGTGTTTCGCACTTCATCCCATGATCGTCAGTGAAACGTTATAGCGGTGTTCATGGACCGTTCTGTGTGCAGGGTTCTCACGTGCGAGTGCGGCAGAACGTCCTGGACATCATCGGGCAGGTCCCCATTGATGCAAAATGTGCTGAACAATGCTGAAACTGTCCTGTCCTCATGTTACTGTTTGCCTCAAACCACGCCCACACCTTATACCGCAATGCTCAGCTTCGAATCTGACTATGGCACTTACCTGCAGCGCACTGTTTCGATAAGCATGACACGGGCGGTAGCAATTTGGATTGCGTGTTCCCCCAAAGATTGTCAAAATCTGTTGTAATTCTGAGATGAAGTTTCGGGAGCCATGTCCTCGTCACAGCCTGCCTTGATGTCAAGAGTCTGAGCCGTGAGAACAGGCTCAGACTCCCATATGACTCTTTGGTTGATTTGGTTTACCCTTTCCATTTTACAGTCTGGGGACTGTCTGACTGGTCGCAAACTTCAGCTGAACACACCAGCCGGACCTCCGCAGAAGATTGTTATCTCCAACGAATCTCCGGTTCCGGATGCCTGGGTAATTCACGAGCTGGAGCTCTTCTTTGGATTCTGCAGCGCACTGAGACTGGCTGTACGCATGTGACAGCAATACTATGTACCCTACCTCTAATGTCATGGCATGATTATCTGCATGACTTTACTCTGATTTCCATCCCAGGTCATGAGGAACGACCTCTGGACTCTTTTCTTACCAACATCTGGAGTTCTGGGACACGGCGGGAGAATGAAGAAGACACAGAGGCTTTCCGTGCCTTCGATGGCAGCTTACAGACCAATTGGACCGCAGACTGCAGGCAAGTTCTTGGGGGCTGTGCTCCTCTCGATGCATACATCGGCCTTGATGTGAGGGACACGCCTGAGTACGGCGAAGCCTGGACCAACAAGGATGAACCCTTCAATATTTCAGCTCCTTTCATGGAGAACCTAAAGGTGCGGTGCATCCGGATTTTCCAAGACCCAAACCCACTACACAAGTCTGACATCATTTCAATTCGAGAAGTCTGGCCGGACACGACCACCGAGACCGAAGGCGACTATGTTTTCGTCACTGCACAGGTGCTGGAAGCTGTAAGTGCAGGAATTTGGTCGAGGAGACCGAGCATCGAAAACTCTGCATGGAGGATCATGAACCTTTGGCCGACCGAAGATCCTCTGACCCTGACCGAGGTACAGTTCTTCGGAGATGACCTGTGCTCGCTGCAGGTCCATGGAGCCCCTTTTTCCTCTGGGAGTGTCGATCCGATCACGCACGGCGAGCAGCTTGCATTGGATCTGAACTTGAACAGCCACTGGCGGGCGAGCTGCCTGGAGGGCTGCGCTGCTCAGGAAGCGTTTATAGGACTGGACTTTGGTGATGAAATGTTGGAGGTCCGGTGTGTGAGGATGTACCAGTATAAGCCAAATCCCTTGGCTATCGTGTCGGAAAGGCCCTCCTTTTCAAGAGGCTTCGACCTACAGCGCTGGACAGGCAAAGGCTGGCTCTCAAAAGAGCGGTTTTGGGACCCGGCATTCGTCTCTCAGGTATCAAACCCCGAGTGGCTCCCAACCATGATTACTCCTTTTTTTGGCGGTGCACCTGGAGTTTGGGAAGACCTGCGGCCTGCAAACAAAACGGCATGGCGAATAATGAACGATGATTGGACCAGTGCCGAATGGCATGTCCACGAATTGGAGTTCTTCGAATCAGAAGCATGTGATGATCAGAAGCTTGAGGGCATCGCTCTAGACATGGTGGGCCCTTCGAATGCGCACATGGCAGCGCTGGCCTTCGATGGCGATCCAAGCCACAATCTAGCGTGGCAGTCGCATTGTTTCGGGAGTTGCATTCCATACGAGGCATGGCTTGGGTTGTACATACGCCCTGCCACGGGAAGTGCCGAGACTTACGACGGGCCGCA